GTCAGAAATGGGGTTGGCTAGCCCCCTAGAGGCCTGGTGTGGCTTCCATCAGCCTCTTGGGTTTTTTCTCTCCTTTCCATTTGTGTAGATGTGTTTGTCTTTTTATAAATTTTAATTATGTATTTATTTGTTTTAATTTGATGTAAGCCGCCCAGAGTCCCCCATTGCAGGGAGATGGGCAGAGATAAGTATGTATAAAATAAATAAAAATAAAAGTACCCTTAAGGCTTCACTTATAAAGTTAAAGATCAGCAATCAACAAATGAATGAAATGCCTTTCCACTGCACCACCATATTGCATTGCTGTTAGGACATCGTATAAAAAGTTAAGGCTCCTTAAAGAAAGCTCAATTTCAGATGATATCATGGATACATCCAAGGAGCAGTATGGAAGTGGTTTGACATAACAAACTAGCCTACAGCATTGGTATTCTGTGGCAATTTCCATTCTGATGCTAAGCAGCTAGCCTTCAGCAAGTGCTGCCACCATCACATAGCCAATAAATGGTGCCAATTAATCCTATAATGTAATCCAAATGGCACCCATTCACTTACAGGTACCAAAAATGCTAAAGTACAATCAATTACAAACCAGATTTTGGCATATTTTGTCTTCTCAGTGAAATGAACAAGAAAATCAAAAAACTACACTTCAGCAATTACAGATGCTCCTTTCATATGACAATGTAGTCACACAATCTCTTACTATATTTCTCAATACTCTGCTATAGCTTTATGCAAGATTCGTGACCTATGCAGCTATTAAAACATTCTGAGCCTGTTTAGATCGTGAAGACAAAGGGCAGGATTTTTCAGAATTTAAAAACCCAAAGTATGCCATGTAGCAAATCCAGCAACAAAAGGGAAAAAAGAACATTTTAATCAAGTTCAGAAAGCAGTGAAGTAAATGAAACATTGGGGGTTTAGGGATTGAAATGAGTCATTGCTTGCACTTCAGTGCAACTCCCCGCCTACCCAATACAAATGCTTTTTATGCTAAGCTTCTCAAAAAGCCTAAGTGATGTCAAATTACACAGTATCCTTTGTTTTGGTGAATATAATACATTTTACCTGAAAGGGCCAAAATATAAGAGCTGTCTGTTTTTAAAGTACTCTGATCATGAAATCTATGTAAATCTCATGTGGTGCTAATATGCATGAGGTATTTTAAATTCAAAACTTTCTCAGCCTTTTAAATCCATATCTGTCTGCAATCTTATATAAGGAATGAGACATCTGAGTGTTGCATGTAGCCTCCAGCCCTGTTTTGTGGCTCTCAGAGCATTAGACTGCACAGCCAAAATAATGTTGTACATATGCGATGGTACTTTCTTCCAAATGGGTTGCACTGTAAATTCTCAGATGTCCCCATTAGCTCCCCGAAAATAAAACAAGTCAATCTCAGAAATGATATTAGTTAAACTGCCAGCTGGCAGAGGGAATTTGTATGGACTGATCTTTGTTCCATCAAGAAAGAAAAGGGTGGAGACCATAAAGTACAACAATGAAAGAACAAGGAGTTTGTAATCAAGGTAATCGTTTCATTGAGCAAATTCCATACGACAGACACTGCATTTTGCTAGCTGAAACACTGAAGCACACCATGATAGTTATTAAGAATGGCAGTAATTGAGAATACATTGCCTTAAAAGTGGAAGATTTAAGATATGCATTCCACTTATCTCCAGCAAACACAAAGTGGGGAAGGAGGAGATCAGAAAGTATACCTTGACCTTGTTTAAATTTCTGAGCATTTCACATTAAATTGTTTGTTTAAAAACAAATGTGATTCATTTATTTTAAACATTAAGATGCAGAAAAATAGACTTTACAAGTTCATTCAAGACAGTTCATTCATTATTCTGCAGCAGAAAGATAAATGTGCACTTCCTTCACACAGTTGACTGTATTCAATTGCAAAGTGATCCAACATATAAAACATATAGTATTTATCTACCATCTCTACTGTTTTTGTCATGGTCAATATAAAGAGTTTTGAAAGTGAAAATCACTTTATTACTCCTTTCAGGTATATTTCTCCTTTTCTCAGAAAGCCCAAAGCTGCCTACATGGGGGCCTAATTTTATCCCAACAATGCTGTAAGGCAGTTAGGGCTGAAAGAGAATGCCAGGCTCAAAATCACCTGGTGAGATTCCTGTTCTTTATTTATATTTCAAATTTATCACCGCTCATCTCAGTACAGAGTGACTCTGAACTCTGTTCTTCCTGGTCCCACATTGTGGACATTTTAGTAAAACATACACCCAACCTAACATTGCAAACTTAAATCAATCACAATTCTATCATCTCTTATTTTTATACTGCTTTACCACTTCCTTTTTAAAGTATATCACATGAACGCCTCAGAGACTACTATGTAACTGATGCAAATAATCACAAAATGAAATTTAACTGAAGTTTCTTTGGATAAGTTGAGAACAAGAACAACCCAACTATAGCCAACACACAAATTAAATGAGGTATGTTTTTTGTTCTCCTTATGTAACAGAAAAGTTTTCCACATAAAACTGCTAAAACAGTAGTGACTCTTAAAGGAGTAAAAATATGAGAAACAGAACATGGATTTCTTATGAAGGTTTCTTTCCTACTGTGGGTGGAGAACTAAGCTGTATTCTTAAGAAAAGACATGGAGAACATGTGGTTTTCTTATCCAATAGTTTAAAGAATTGTTGCACAGTTAATTTGGTTGATCTGTTCTTGGAGCTTTATTCATTGCTGAGTTGTATTATCTTTATAGCATATTCCCATCCTGATTTTATAAAGTTTATGAACTCTTCAGATTTACAGCAGAAAAAGGCCATGCAACATTTTAAAACATAAACTACCAGCTAATATAAACAGAATGTTTGGGAGTTCATGGGACATATATGGCGACAAACAGCGTAAACTAGGCTCTTGAAATTTATGGAAGGAATGTTACAGCCAAGTCATATATTTTTCTTGCTACTGATATTCAGAGCACTGGGGCACAAGAAATCAGGAACTACAACACCATATTTAAGATGTGTTTTCTGTATCATTATATACAATCTTCTTTTATTTAAAGCAACTATACCCTGCTTTTCAGCCAGAAAAACTTCCAAAGTGGTTTACAAGTCTTACATATTGTATGGAGTTGTCACTCAGACACTTCTAACATCTATTTTATTATTTTAGTTATTTGACACAGTGCCCTTCTTTACAAACTCTTGCAATAAATGCATGTTTTAAAAGCTTAAAGGTGCTTTTCTTGCCTTTTTGAACCAGGGCCACACTGTGAGGAACTGAAGATTCATGGGAGTAGCCTTACTTGACCTCCACAGATACAGGAGCTGATTCTTCAGAATCAGCTATAACAGATTAAACCAGAATATGGGCAACTGTAACATATAAAGTGTATGTCACAACTAAACATTTATCACCAAACGTTCCTGGCCCCAAATCCTTTTAATCAGTTCATTAGTTGGAAGTGGCAGCAGTTCAAGCATCTTCTAGATTCCTTCTTCTTATCCCATCTTTTTTTTTTTTTTTAAAGGATTGTGGATTATACCTGCATAATAAGGGGTGGGGAGAAATAACATGAAAAATACATGGGTCTTGGTTGCCCTACTGATACATGGCTTATCAGCATGGTTGCACTTGAACATACTATATCGCAAAAGATGTTACACAATTTATCTGACAAGAAGGGAAGAATCTGTAAATAATGCACGGAAAGAGTCGCTAAAGAGCCTGAGGTCTTGGCTTTACTGGTGCTGCACTGCAACTTAAGATTTTTTTTTTCTACCTTGAAAATATAACAAGGAACTGTGATGCTCCAAGATCTCTTTTTTGAGATGTAAACACCAATACCAAAACATCCTCTGGCCCAGTGATTTTTATCCTGTGACTGGTAAAACCTTGGTAGCAAAACCCTTAAAATAACCAGGGCCAGCAATTTCATCCCTTCCTATTCATTGACTGGGAGAACCACCATACTAAACTAGACTCTAGATCGGACACCTTGGTTAAATCGCTTCAGACTTACCATGTTTGTTATTCTAAAGTCAAAATGTACATTCCCACTTATTGCTTTGGAGGTCAAGAGAAAAGCCAGAGACCTATAATAATTTCAGGACTGGATTTTAAGGCTGCCATTCACATTAAAGCCCTTTTCTTTCCAGTTCTTCCAGTGTAGCTTGGATTCTATGAACTGCCTCTTTCCTTGCCTGGCGCACATGGTCCTGGCCACCTGTCTCTACAGAGTCCAGTTCCAACAACTTCTTGGTCAGCATTTCTTCCAGTAACCAGTAGTCCTTGTCTGTCTTTTTACCTACAAATTCATCTACCTCTTCTTCCAACTGTTCAATTCCCTCCATAACTTGTGCAATCTTCTGTATTCCAGGCTGCACATTAGTTGGAGGCTGTACATTTATTTTAGAAGCTGATCCATTGTCAATCACAGAATTGTCAATCACAGATGGTTTCTTATGTACATTATCATACAGCTGGGGCTGTGCACTATACTGCACTTTGGGGTTGGAAGCAGATGGCTTAGTGTCAAGCTGTGCTGGCTTGTAGTCATTCATGGTCCCAGAAGGCAAATTATTGGCTTCAGGAAGATAACCATGTTGGTTAATTCCTTGATCCATTTGGCTATAAGAGTCCTAAAGCAGAAAAAAAGCAATTTCAACAACTCTGTCAATTCCATTTTCCCCCATCCTGTATCAAAAATGCTGTGAAAACAGATCCTTAGGTGGCCAATATTGCCAGCCTGCCTCTCTGCATATTTGTAAGATCTGCATGCTCAAGATTCAATGCAAAAAAAGGCTCTGCCACTGAAAGCCACTGGACAGGACCTGAACTTTGAACCTGTCAGAACGACATCACAATGAGCCATGATCCAATAGCCTGAAACCTAGGTGACCTCATAGGTTCCATGGCATAGTAAGCAGTTTCCCCCCCAAAAAAGAACATAAGAGCTCACTGGACTAAGCAGTTCCTTCCTCACATACATACAAAACTGTTAACTGTAAACAGCAATGAGATTGTAGTTGAACACGTAAACCTACCAGCTACTAGACTGATAGATTTAAATAAACTTCACCTTAACTCTATCTAGACCTTTACACTCCATATAGTTTCAATCATTCTTTTTACATTAATTTTCTATCGTACGTTAGCAAGTTTGTTAGTAAAGACTCAATCACTCTCAAAGTATGTATTTGTAAATTTTTAAATCACTTTCCTGTAATCAGTATCTGCTTGCTCAAAACTGTCTTAATTCTGTTCACCTGTGTTTCTTTATTTCAAGCTGGTGATACTTTGCTTATTTTAAATTAAGTAACTCAATCAAATCATTTATTTTGGCTGATTGTTAGTGTTTTCAAACAGTTTCAATTCTACCAGATTTCCATTTTTTTGAAAAAACCAAAGCTCTGTTTGTGTGTGTGTGTGTGTGTGTGTGTGTGGATGTGGATGGATGGATGGATAGCTATCTATCTGCTGGTCACTATCCCATATAGTACTTCCAACTGTCTTTTCTCATTTGTTTAGTTCTTCACAAATCAGCATTAGCAAAACCATAAGCATAACATACAATTATAGGCAAGGGCAACATTTATAGTTTAAACCAACAGAAGCTATGGTATTCCAAAGCCACAACCCTGAATTTTCAGTATATTCTTTAATACTTCGCATTAAAGGATGAGTAAGTATAGCTAAACTATGAACTGGAATTACGTCTTTCAGGGTTTTTAAACAAAACAGCTGTCCCCAAACAAGTGCTTATTAAACTGCAAGTAGCAAGCACCATTTTTAATATTTGAATTCTGCTCAAAGAGACTCAGAAAGGTACCATTCTAACAGGATTCTTCCTATGATATACCTGTAGAGCACAAATCCTAGAGCAGATGAAAAAAAGGGAATTCATGATCTTGAATTAATAATGCACCAGGGAGAGAGAGACCTTGTGTATTTCAAAAACATACCTTTGGATGGTTATTTGGAGGAAGTGGAGCAGACGCACCACTGCCAGACCAAGACTCTGCGATGTATTGATTCCCATGTCCTGCTGGGGCAGGAGGCCAACCATAGGGGGTCTGCATTCCATAAACTCCAGGGGTCTGCCAAGCTGCTTCTTGAAGTCCTGGCTGAGGAGGGGGTGGCCTCTGCTGTGGAATGCTATGATTGCAATCGCCATATGGATAGGGTGGGAGTGGAAAGCCTGGGGCCTGCAGGAAAAGGGGAACATGGAAACATTGTTCCTTTATTCACCCCAGGAAAGCCTGCTTGCTTGCTTATATATTTATTTATTATTAAATTTGTATGCCGCCCATCTCCCCAAACGGGAAGCAAACTGGCAAACAATGCAGCTCGCATAACAGCAGTGTTATACATGCCCCCCAGGGGCATTCAGAACTGTCCACACCACCGCATTTTGCACCAGCTGTAGCTTCCGGATACTCTTCAAGGGTATTACTTAACAAAACATTGAAGGCATTTCTAGTAGCAGTGCTTCTATGGCACTATTACTTTAATGCTTTAACGGAAAAAAACATTTCCATTATCTGTTCATGCTTCAAAAGCCCTGGCACTTTTCTGATGTGCGCATCTGATTCTGTTACATCCGGCATGGGTGTAATACAGCTGAGGGAGCAATGGTTTGCCCTCCCATTTCCTGATTCTCATGATCAGGACGTATGCCAGCACTTTATAGTAGATGCTTTTCAGCACCTTGTGTGTGTTCCTCTTCTCCCAGTATTCGAATACTCCCTTTTGATTCATTGTCTCTACATCTGTCACTTTAAAAGGAGAAAGAAGGGCAGCAGTTGAAACAGACAAACAGACTTTTGTCTGAAATAGATAAAATAGTGTATCAGTTTTCATATATTTTATTAAGTAAAAATAGGCAGGTGCTATTTCAGCACAGTAATTTAAAAAAAAAAAATGCCAACCCATGCCAGGATTATAGCTGTGCCACCTGTTGGAGGAGAAATGAGAGAGGATGTGGAAAGTCAAGGCAAAAGTGGTCCCAGTGGTGGTAGGAGCACTCAGGGCTGTGACTCCTAAGCGGGGAGAGTGGCTCCAACAGACCTCAGGAACAACATCAAAGCTGTGTGTGTCTGCACACACACAAATATATTGATGATTCATATCAGATATTTACCTGTGGAGGGGAGTATCCCGCTACCTGCCTCCTCACCATGGAACCTTCAGCTGGACAGTCTGGAGGGGGGTAATTCCAGTTTGATGCTGGGGATGGAGTTCTATATATGCTAGAAGACTCTGTGGAGTAAGTGGCAGGAGGATGCTCTGAAGAGTAGTATGTGTTTGATTGTGGGAGTGTGGGATATGGCGGCCTCGTCCCAGGAGCTGGATATGAAGGTCCATAGACACCATTTGTGTAGGAAGAATCAATTCCCTGAAAGAAAACACTGTCTGTAAAAAAGCTAAGAAGGAAACAAAAAGACCAGAACACATCCTCTCCAGCAGCCAACACCCAGATAAGCAAAGGTTAACACCAGGCAAGCTATCAAACAGAAAACAATACCCTAATCAAGGAACTACCAAGGAAAAAACCACACACCCACTAACGCTGGCAGGACACGCTACTGTATATGAACAGAGAGCAAACCCCACACTTGCTAGCACTGATGTTACCTAGTCAGGTAATGAAATGTCTGCAAGCAAACAAACATGCTCAGAGAACACCAAGGACTCCACAGCAGAATTAGCTGTTTGATTTATAATTGTTTGCTTGTTTCTGGTAACAATAAAGCAAAATGACCCAGTTGGCAAGATATTAAAATCACACTGATACTTATATATGAAAGAAGCTGATTAGCACAGAACAGGAAGTCTTATCAACAGTGATGACAGGCCAATAAATAATGTGAGACAGATTTTACAAACTGTCAGTGCTAAGATCCATATAGCTTCATGAGTTTTGCACTCACGTGGCACCTAAAGTTTTACACGGAATGGTGCTATTACATAGTAGAGACCCCCTGAAAAATTACATGTGGTACTACTTAATTTGATGTTTTTAAAATTTTGTTATTGAGATACTGCCTACTCTCAAACCAGAAGCCCAATGATTCTATAAGAAGCCATGTCCAGACAAAATGCAGTACGTTATTCCTATTACTCTACCTGGCCTTGAAGCTCTGGTCCAACAGGATATGGATTTGGATAGGAAGCTCTTGGAGATGAATTCCAGTACTGGGGGGCATACCCAGGATACGGAGGCTGTTCCTACAAGGAACGATAGTTAATTCCTGTAAGTGATTAACTCACACCTAGAATATTTCTAGAAGAGTTTGTTTCTCACTTGTTGCATACAAGCTGAAGGTCAGACCATCAACAGGAGGTTCGACAGAAGGTTGCTGCATCAGAGACAATCTTCTGGCAATCCATGGCAACCAAGCTATATTCAGCAGTCTGCTTGTAGCGACATGCTTTGTTTCTGTTCTAAGAAGATCCTCGTAGCAGAGGAGCCTCTGAAAAGTAATGATGTCCTTGGGCAGGGCTCAACTCCTGATGACTGTGTGGGAGTAGCTATACAGCTTTCTTGGCTACAGTACAGAAGTGGTTTGCCACTGGTTTCATCCAAGGTGTTTTTCAACTTCATAGAGCAGTCTACAGCCCTTGTGATCCCTGGCACAATTCCATCCAAGTTGAATGAGGCACAACTGAGCTCCGACAAAATCTGCTGGTGCTTTAGCAATGCTCCTGAACGCATAGATTGAGTGTGATTACATTTTAGCGAACACAGAACATTTTAAGAATACAACTATTTTAAGTGGTGACTGGCAGGTAGGCAAGGACTTCTTGTATATAATTGTATATAAGACTGATTCACAATCACTGGGCAAAAATAGTATAAATGTATTGTAAAATGGAAGTAAAACCTTCTAGTCTTCTCAAGGTCATACCAGGGCATGGAAAGAACAGGAGCTTACTTTTTCATGCAAGACCATGCTCTAATGTTATACATGAGCACAGCTATGATTAATAACAAATTTAGATTTTACCTGCAAAAATCACAAATCCTACATGGGGGGGGGGGAGGCAATCAGACACCAAGTGAATGAAGTAGAAAATAATATGAGAATTTACTACTGGACTCTGCAGTACTTCCAGTTTACATTTTTGAAATAAATGTTTTACAACATCTTAAAGCTTAGTTCATCTGTTGGGTGATTGTTACAATATACAGCAGAATCAGAAACTGTTGTGGTTTGGGGATTTGGTGCTGGTAAATGTCTAGATACTACATTCATGCAAGTATATTACAATAATCTGATAGCAGTTTTCTGGATCTGGAAATAGTGGCTATATCACTATGGTTTCTTCCAAGCAATGACTGGAAATCTGTAATCTTCAAATGTGGAGATACAAGCACAAATAAGGAACACATCAGAGTAACCAGTATGTATCCTAACAATACCTAAACACAAGCTTAAAAATGTTTAAGCATACCTTAAGTACAATAATCTCTCAGAAGACCTTAGACTAATATACAATTGAAACTAGAGACATTTCTTTTGAGATTGATGGATAAACAGTTGGAAAAAAAATGGAACTTTGTTTTTATATATGATAACAGCAGCAAGACTTTTATATGCATAGTGGAAGAATGGATGGTGAAATTGATGGAATGGGCTGTGATGGCAAAATTGACAGCTTTCATTAGAGAAAAAAACATTGATAAATTTTAATGCTGACTGAAACCCCTTTTAGACTTTTTGCGTGAAACAGAAAAAAATGAAATCATGATACATGGATCTGATGATTAGAGATAGTAGACAACGAAAAAAAAATGAAAGTTATTTTGTAAACTTAGAGTAAGAGCTTGAAGCAACTTTATACTTATAACTGTTGTAAAATAAAGTTGGAAGTCATTTTTCTTTTGTATTTCTTTTTCTTCTGCACTTTTGATCTTGTTTTTTTTTTCATTCTTTACCTCTCTTTTCTGCTTTCTATCTTAATTATTAGTTCTTGTTAGTTTTTATCTCTTTATTTTAAAAATCTAATAGTTATTTTTTATAAAGTACAATAATCTCAAATAATTTTATTTAAGATGCAAATAAGTCACTCATATCTTTGACTTTAGTCTGTTGTCAGTTATATAAGACTAAGTATGATGGTAAAAAAAAATAAGAGCGTAATGTTATCTGAAAGACCAAGCAAGTTATTGCTGCATAAACACTTGTGGAACTCAGTTTACTCTCATAAATGTTGAGAACCAGCCATATTTTTAGAAATGGAAGTGCAAGATGCTGCAAGAAATATCAAGAATTTATATAAGTACCATACTGCTTTCCTCAAGGAAAACATTTTCAGTTCCTATTAATATCCATGTTTCTTTAACCAATATAATTTCCAGTGGGCCTTCTTATCCTTTATTTTAGGAGACTCCTTAATGAATCTTTTAAATTAGATATTTTGTATTGGAAATCTTTAACCATTAGTAGTAGAAAGATTAAAATCTTCAGGACCTATTTCACTAAACCAGCATGTTGTTGTTGTTAAATGCTGATTGAGCTATTAATTTAAGTGGCATCAAAACACAATTTGAAATCATTGTTTTTACATCTTCAACTTCTGCAGATATTTGTGGTGTGCTAAAGATAACATTGGTAAACCTATGTTATGTTTAATTTAACAATTACCTGGGGAACATCTTGCCTTTCACACTTACAGACTCACTATTTACTGAACTGTCACCAGCAGTGACTAACTAAAGGGTAGGCTTTATCTTAAATCTCTCTTCAGCAATCAAACTAATTGAAAGCCTTGCCTGATATTCTCATTCACAGCCTATCAAACTCTCCAAGAATTTATAGAATGTAGGTATAAGTAGTCTCGCATTTGTCCTCAGTGTGGTTTAGCTGGAATCCTTAGGCACACATATTTAATTATTTCTTAAAATTCCAGAGACTAAAATGTTTTCCAAGTACAGGAAGTTAATAAAACAAAATATCATGTCATTTTAAAACACATTAAAGTTACTTCCATTCCAATATTAAAATAAGGTGTCAAGAATTATAGTAATAATATTGTATTATTCTAATAAACAATGACTAGCTTCATTAACTAAATGAAATCTGAACTAAAGCTTAAGGCTGCCTCATCTCTAGTTGTCTGAATTTTGTAGGCATATGCCTCCTCCACAAAGTCATTTACTTGCATGAGTTTGCCAAGCTAAAAATGCAACATTATATTTCACATTTAAGTGCAAAAAGGTGGCTCCTTTTTAATGTTTTGTATTGTTCTACTTCTATTATTTGAGATCATCACATGAATATCTACATGTGTATGAAAAGGTTAAGAATTAATGAGTGCAATATTGCTAAAAATCATACACAATCTTGTAAGAATTTCACATACAAAGAGATTCCACTGCAAATGTTTTCATACTAGCTCCTCTCCTCCACTACAACCATCCACAGTAGTACAAGAACTAATCTCACAAATAGCAATTCAGATCATACTCTTGCTTGAAGAATTTTCTAGGTGTTAGGGTATATTAGACAACTGTTCACAGTTTAGACTTAGGATTTATTTGGTACTCAATCAGAATCTTTATCACCCAATCATTAAAGCATTATTTAAATGCTTTATTTTTACAAACCCAACTTTTAAGCTGGGAGAAGGCTAATGTACAGTTAGCTT